TTGAATTATTATTTCCCTTTCTTGCAACCATCAACATTAAGTTTAAACCAATCCGAAGGAGGAACTTTCCAATGGAGCAAAGATTCAATCCTATGGGGTTTTTCAATCTTGAGAATATTAGCCTTCAACTATTCGCGAACATATATACAATAACATTTGTAGGCTCATAATCATTGCAAAATCCTGCTAAAAAATGAATATAGTTCGCCAATCCATTGAAGGGAATTGAACCTAAACCTGTTCTACCAAGTTTAAGCTCAAGGCTCCTCTTAACGTCCCCTAAGGTCAAATATGTTAGGGAGAGATTTTTTTTTTTTTAATGTATTTATAAACATGAAAATAGGACAGGCTGTTAAATGGAATTTCAACATCTAAAGCAGAAGTCCATTCTCCATTATATTGGATTATTGAATAGTCTTATACAAATTTCCGTGGAAAATATTTGGACATATACATATATACCGGCTCTATAAGGGAAGGGATCTCTATTTTTTTTTTCAGAAAAATAGGAATTAGTTATGGGACCTACTTCACATGGATCTTCAATAATCCGAACCATCTATTTTTACAAGGCTACATATTTCTAGCTTATGCATAAGAGCAATTATCTAAGCTACAAATTTATAAAACTTTGTTTGTCAATAAATAATTAATAAAATTATTACTATACCCTTTTATACATAACTAAAAAAAATATTAGAAAAGAAAAATATGGGCTTAGAGATTGTCAGAAGAAAGTTGGGGCATTGCGTGTGTAACGATGACAAGAATTATCACATTATGAGTAGACTTCCATAACATTTGATGCTTCATCCCTTGGTTTTGTATTTTGAAATAAATATTCCCTATGTCAAGGAAGTAAGCTTTGGCAAACTCAAAGATATTTTCATGATACATAATTATATATTTAAAATTATTATCATGTTCGCCAGATCAAAAGAATTGAAAAAATAAATCTTGGTTTGCAATCTTGGTTTTGTTGGGGCGCAAGTGATACCACTAAACCTATTAGTTTCTCAAAATGAATCAAATAATATAGGATGATGTAATCCACACACCCATTTTTACTTGTTCAGATCAAAACAAAAGAATTGAAAAAAAATCAAATGACAAAATTTAACAAAAGTGTGTATGAGGTAAAAATAGATGTGTAAATAACACTGCCCATAATATATATATGTCTTCCAGCAAAAAATAAAAAAGCAAATATGTCACCTGTATCTGCAATAATTCTGTATATGCATGCCACACACACGAGCGGCATTATCTGCTGGCAGATTGTCGAGTATAAACACAACTTGTGCATAAAAAAATGGAAATTTGGTGGCAGAAGTTGTTGATTTTATTTTTATGTGGCCTCGGCTGAATGAAAATATATGCATTTTGACAATTATGATATGAATCAAGAGTGTTTCTTGTCAATAAAGCTGCAGAAAAGTCACCTACGACTTGAAAATTAGGGTTTATGTGGAATACATAAACATTGACTAGGGTTTATTTTTCTTGTCAAACATGGAATATTAGGGTTTTTTTTTTTCTCTTTACATGATGTAAAAAGAAAAAAAAAAGGTGTCAAGCAGCTGGGGATGTCTCGGCACTCGTGAATCGTGAGATTTTTAACCCTTGGTGAAATGTGACAGTTAACTAACCTTGAATCCATGGACATAAAAGACGACATGCATAATATTGTGTAATCACTGAGATATTCACATCTTTATATATACTTGAAGATCTCTAATTGCAGTTATTTATAAATTAAATTGCATATATATTATTGATATCAAATCCACTTCTTATTTTTTTAGAACATTTTGGTCATTTTAATAAGAGTTACATTTATACAATCGTTTAGTACCATATCTGAAATTAAGATACAATTAATTTCTTTATTATCTGATGATGTGGGAACGAAAAATGAAAGCCCAACAACTTGTTAATTATTTTGAATGATGCTGAGCTTTCCATGCAATCATGCACAAACCGCCAATTATATTCATTGACCTGGAGCTCGTAAGCTTGAAGGAAATAAATTAGCTTTATCTGTCGACCAATTTCTTTTGAAAAACATCTAAAATATCATCCCTATAAGCTGGCCTCGTTATACTTGTTATATGCAATCTTCTTCAGGTTGATATGTATCAGCTTCTCTTGTTGCATAATTATGCAATTTGCTATATATATCGAATTGTCTAGTTTTAATTGTGCTGGTTTGCTTTGTTAGAGGTTTTTGTGCCAGCCGTTATCTGTTCTAGTTGTGATCTTGCTATTATATTCCTATTTGCTATTGAATAGTCTTTTTTTTTCTTGATTGCCGATTTTTAACTCAGGTGGAGGGGTGCTAGTTGGTTAGGCCAGAAATCAGTCAATTATGACGTGTGTTGGGCTATGGCTTTGATCTCCATGTTATAGTAAGGGGGAATGATCAGTTCATACTTTAAGGTATAATATTGGTTAATTCACGTGTTATAATATAAGTGAACTGGTAATTACTGCATGAATGTTATAATCCCACTCTTCACACATGTTGTACTTGCCTTTGTACGTAGTTTTTCTTTTTTCTTGTATTTAATTTTTTTCATTTTGGGAACTTTTCCATGTAATCTTGTGAATTTAGTTTTTCATTTAGCTTTTACTAAGTGATTTTAATATAGTTTGAGCGTCAAATTTTTAGTACAATTGACTAATATTTTTCTCTAATGTATATGCCACAAAGTTTCCACAAATAAAGTAGCCATGCAAGCTGTAAATATGTTGACACATTTTGAAGTTCGAAAACAAATGCTGATTCGCTGCTGTATCTCAAGAGCACTTTTTTGAATGCTAATGCTGGTCTTCCAATACCAAAGTCTTGGACTTCAATTTGGTATCTGTTTTGCTTTTGGATTTAGCTAGTAGCTCAAAACCTAAACCAAGAGCTTCATACTTTGACCTAAATTTGTGAAGATATATTTATTGAATATGTAGCCTTGAATTGAACTCAGCAAAGACAATGGCTTTACTTTCTGGATGTAGCCTCCTTAATATTGCTTTTTTTTCCCAGTTGACAATGGAATTCGTAGGTTGCATGCATTTCTTTCTACTTTTTCTTTGTTTTTTCAGCACGCATGTATGGTCCCCCACGTATTAAGATGGCAGTTAGAATTTTAATGGCTTTATTACTTGCTTTTGCTCCTTCCTCCCCTTCCTTGTTCTTTGCTATGTAAATTTTGTTAAGGATATTAGTGCAAGGGCCGGCGATTTGGTCATTGGTTTTACATTACCAGGCAACTTGACTTATATATACGTACTGGACCCAAATACTTGCTTAATTAACTAGTTTTGTTGCAATATGACCAAAGCAATATCGTAGGTAAATGCTGTAAAAGTGTAAGACCTTAATATCTTATTTGAAGTCATCACCCACTTACAACGAACGTATTTCAGCTTAACTAAATGAACAGAAAGCATTGATCTAGAACTCATAGTGCTGTAATACATGACATCGTGGACAAAATAATCTGCATGCATAATAACATGTTGAATGTGAACTAGAAACATGCTATGGTTTAAATTTAGGAGATCGAATTTTCTCACCACCCTTACTAGCTAGTTGTGAACGTTACCATCGCCTAATTAAAAGAGTGTCACATGATTCTTTAGGCTCCTGGTAATTCTTGAACTCGTATGATTTTTTTTTTTTTTTAGAATGATTTGTAGTGCTTTTTTGGGGAACGTATTAGCTGCTAAATTATATATGAATGTGGTTAAATCTAATTTGCACGCATATTTACTTCCATACATAATTGAATGTTATAGAGACATATTTAAGAGTCACACAGTGCTAGTTTCATTGATCAGGGATAGAATATCATCCGCATTCGTTACAGTAGAATTATATATGGCATAGCCACCATTACTTGAAATAGTTGCTTCTGTTTAGAATCAATTTCACATTGACGAGAGTATGGACTTTGCATCTGCTTATAAATAATTCGACAACTACTCCCATATTGTTAATTGGTTTTATTTTGAAACTTCAACTTTCTTTATGGTATTATAACATGTTGTCTGGCATGCATGTGAAGCCAAACAGCCACACACATTCTATGTCACCCCATTTGTGTTGTGCACATGTTAGGCTTGGAAATTAGTCATACATTAAGGGCTATGTTGAGAATAAATCACACATTAATAGGAGAATGGATCTTGCATGGGCTTATAAGTATCGTTTCTTCAATTTTAAGTTTTTCCACCATTTTGGATATCCATGCAATTTAAAGCAAGATTCGCATCCATACTTTAGAGCTCCACAGTAAGTGCAACCTCCCTCAGAAGGAGGAGACAATATTTGTCTCAACTCTGAGTTTGGCTTTGCCAGCTGCAGACGAAAGGACAACAACATAGGATGGACCTGCCTGCCAAAAAGAAGTTTGCCAAGTGGGTCTTTTGTGCTAGAATATGATCATGGAGTATGTCTCAATGCAAAGAGATGAAGCCATCTTCTTCGCTGCTGCTGGTTTGTTTTTCTTCTATTTTTGTTGTCAGTTCATCGATTTAGTTATTTGTAGTTTATCGATCTTGTACAGGCTTTTGTATTCTGATATTTTGGGAGTCGACCGGCCGGCCGGCTAACATCTTTAGAAGCAGCGGTTGAAGCATGAGGAACAATCATCGTCAGATTCCTGCTATAGGTGAACTCCAATTAGAAGTAGAAGAATAAGTAGGTGACGACATGACATGGGTTTCATCCCCCATGGCCATGCAGGTGTAGGAGGTATTAGGGTTTGCTAGGTGACGACATGCATGTTGTTAACTTGAGATCAAAGCTCACGAAAGTAAATACAGATCAAGTTTTGAGAGAAAAGGAAGAACGTTAAGGTTTCTGATTCTGTAGATGAAACGGCTAATAACACCGAAAACATGCATAGTTTTAACTGACTTTGTTGAGTCGATAGAAGGGTGAAGCACGCGGAGAGAATCATAAAGTTCAGTTGATGTTTCAGACGTGAACGTAGCCACACTGACGAGCAAATCCCCGAATTTTTAAAATTGATTTAAAGTTAACGTTATTTGTAACACAACCAAATTTTTTGGGTCGCAATATTTACAAGTAGCAAACCTGTGTCGTTAAGCTGTACAACAAGGAGCTTAATGACGAAAGAAACAGGAAAAAATGAGTCTCTGCGGCCAATGTCTAATACTACTGTTAATCAAGCTTCTTCGATTTTCAATAAAATGAGTTTCCGCTGCCTCTAGCTCCAATGCTGCAAAGCTAATAGTCAAAGCTACGAGATATCCAAGCCCCCCGAAGATTTTTGGATGTGAAGCAAAAATTATGGGTTCAGGTGCCGTCGAGTTGAGGTGTGAACAGCCCAGTTCACATAGATGATCAGGGGACATGACGGTTTGTAACAACAGTGATCAAGATATAGCCATGCCAGTTCCAGTTAAGAAAATAAACTCCAACGACAAAAGGGAGCCTTATGTGAATCTCGGGGCACATAAACCAGTCTCAGAAGATTTGATTAGGAAGAACCTGGGAACTTCAAACTGGTGAACTTTGGACCTGAGAACTTTGAGCTTGCAACAACTTTTTCATTGCATCGTGACATCTGAAAATACACAACCAAAACAAGGACATGAGACGCAACTTCATCTCCAATAAGAACTCAAAGAGGAAGATAACTTAAAGGTAACTGTATTTGGATACCTCCAAGGAAGATGGTCAAGAAACATTGACGGTGACACAATAATATCTTTGAAGCTTTCTCTATTTGCAATATAAGCCTTATGACATTGTGTCTTTTTGTGTACTCTCCCGCTTTTAGATGGAGACATATCGAATCTTCTTGGTTGTGGTACTATATGAATTACAAGGCCAGGCAGATACATCTCTGGGGGATCCCTAGCTGTCAAACTTCCAGATTTTGGGACACTTTCCATAAATTGGGACACAAGGTCATGGTCTGAAATAACGTCACTAGCAAAAGGGTTGGTGAATTGATCTTGATCACTTTCAAGAACTCTTTCCTCCATGTCAGCATCATTCCACAGGATGAAATCTTGATGCTGTTCCTGACAAGCTGCAATAGAAAAGTAATTTTTTTCAAGATCCTTCACCCGCTTCATGACAGGAGTCACGCCCATGATTATATGATAACATAAATCATGCGGGCCTTTGTCAGAAAAATTTTTAACCTCATGATACTAAAAAAGTCGATACCTGCCGCATCATCCTCATACTGATTTTCATATATTTGGTGGTTTAGTTTTTCATCTGAAGATGAATCCTTTACGTCAGTCCCATCTTGCTGGCACTTGTTCACATGAAGGAAATGGCGCACAAGCCTTAGTATCATAGCCGTATCAGTTTCTGAATCTTGTGACATTGATGTAATTGCAGCCGCACGAAGCCGCATGATGGATCCAACTGATAAGCGTGCTGAGAATTCATTGTTGTATACAATGCTGCAGAGAAGTCAAGGACTTATTATGTAGAGAGGACAATATAAAAATATGAAAACAAGTCACTCTGTTTTATTTTTTCTTTCAAAAATCAAACTATCAGTGGTGTGAGCGAGAAGCAAATTTACCTTGTAACAAATTCAGAACATGCATTTGCTACAACTGAGTCCACACATGGAAGGGCCCCATATGTATAGACATGCATATCTGGGTATCGGTGGTATAGCTACACAAATATTTTGAGAATAAAATCACAGAAGATTTTCATCAAAATCAAAATGGATAAAATTGAGAATAAAAGAAAAATGACTCGTAAAGATACTCTAATTGCATCAGCTTGTCTATTTGTCACAGTTCATGTGAGCATCCATCAATACCATCGAAGAGTGGTAGATTATCTACAGTACACTCAACAACCCATGGAGCTCGTGAACACTAAGACTCACCTATATGGACTTTCAAATTCTTCAGCCACGAACTAGAAAAAGTATATCAAAGAAATGAATAAACAGTCACATTATACTTGTATACAGGAAAAGGAAAATAATAAGATACTTGCATACAGGAAAAGGAAAACAATCAGGGTACATTCCCAGTAAAAAATGACATACTCTGAGCCCAAGCAATGCAGCAATAGCACCTCCTAGGGAATGGCCTACTATGCGTATGCTGTACCCCTCACACTCACATCCAACTCCGAGCAAAGAAGAAAGAAGGCCACTTGAACCAGATCCTGCAATTCCATCACTATTGACATTGTAAGCGAGTGTATAATTTGCCCTAATTCCAAAATTGATCTGCATAAACTCCTGACTATAAAATCATTTACTTCAAACACTTGAGATATGGAGTATTGGATACTGATGTGCCCCCAGAAAACCTGAATGCATATCCAACACTCAACATGAGTGTCTGATCACTTGTCGTTTTGACTTTCAGAACCGAAAGGACGTGCCAACATGGGAACCGTTTGTAATTTTGAAAACATAAAGGTCAAAATAAAAATAAAACAAAAATGACATAACAGAAAGGAAGAGTGAGAAAGTAAACACTCTCTTCTGTACTTGCTGTGAAAAACAGCAGCAGAGGAGCTATGCTCTTCCTGGTTGTAACCTAAAAAAGAGAATGGCAGAGAAAAAGGAAGTATTTTTGCTCACCACCCTAAAGTGATGGTGATGCTCACCACCTTATTGATTACTGTTGGATGAGTTTGATTTAATCTATCTACTACACAAATCTCGATTCTCTAGAATTAAAGTAACGAAACGGGGATTAATAGGGTGGCGAGCAAAAATGCACTCGTGAAAAAAAAAAGGAATAGATACAAATAACATAAAAGATCGATTGTGGATGTCCATCATCCGACCTGTGGTCTAAGTTTTGTAGGTCACCTTTTAGGGATCATCTCCACAAAAGATCAGCCAGATTAAGAATCATTTAGCCACTTGATTACCAGCACCATCATTAATATTTTATCCAACAAACCACATTTTGCTTCATAATATAGATGATGAAACAGTTTTCAATGATTTTTGTATTGCTTTTGCAAGGGCAATGCTTCAAGGACTGAAAATATGGATGGTTCCAATTATTGAGATGCAGGCAGCCGAACAGTGAAAGTCTGCACTTTTCACGGTTTGGAAACGCCCGCTCTTTAACCTATCTAAAATACATAACTTATAATTTTTTTCAATCCACTTTCTTGGAGAGTTCTTGTATCGTCGTATCCTACAGTGTTTGCATCAAGTATCCTCTATCCTGTATCAGTATCTATGAACACTGCTCTTAACAATATGTAGGAGTAAAATTAATAAACGAAAAGGTTTCAAAGATTTTTATAGTGTAATGTCCACTTGTCAGAATTTTGTTGGCAGATACTTAGTTTCCAGACTGAATCTGGACCACGCATTCAAGCAAAGAATCACCTAACCAATGACCTACATTCATAGTCTAGCAAGGGAACATTTCCCAGGTTTTCTAATATATCTTTAAACTACAGTGTTCCTGCAGCACACAAAAGCTCCAATATCTACATAACGAGTGACATAAAAGTGATAGATAAACAAAAAATAATAAATAAAAAAGTTTTAGCATGTCACAAGTGGGCCTACATATCAAAAAACTGAATTGCCAAATTGTGTTCGCTCATTGATAATAGATATTGATATGGAGACCAACTTATCTAAAGCTTATTGTGCTTAAGTCTATTGGGAAACATCTTATCCCTCAGCTCATTTGATTTAGACATAAAGGACGGTGCTGTAAAACAAAAGCATAAAGAACTCAAAGACAATATTCTGAAAACTAATAAATAGATATCAATTAAAGATAATAGAAGTTCAACGTATACCAAAACAGATTTCAAAATAGCCCAATAAGTTCGAATGGGAGAAAAAACAACAAGAAGGTCATCTAATTACCATCATCTCTAGGGCTGCCTTCAATTTGCATGAAAAGATCTCTAGCAGCCTCAACAATACCAGAGTGCCCATGGTGCGGGAAAGATGAAATCACAGCTTGCCTCACTTCAGGATGAATATTAGTGCTACTGCCAACACAATAGATAATAAAAATCTGAGTGCCAAATGCAAATACAATGTTGATGGTGACAAAACAGAGCTCCAAGTACTAAGGAGATGTTATTACTTTATCTTCATTGACATGTTTTCTTTTCTCCTTTTTTTTTTTTTTTTCGAAGGGGTGGGGGCGTGGCCCGGTGGAAGGGAAAGCAGGGTTTGCGTTATAGACTTTTCAACACTGTAGTTTATAGTTGAACTTCCATGATAAAGTTTTCAGACTCTAAGAAGAACCAAATTATCATACCATAGCACACATAAAAATAACCAACAGAGAGAGAGAGAGAGATACTTTATCAATGCACCCAAGTCTTCTACAGACAGAGCACATTCCCTACATAAACTGTCGGTTATTAGATCTTCAGGGGTCTCAGTTCCCCGAACAGCAATCACCACAGATCTTAGATGATGCAGCACAAGAACAAAGTATGCAGCTTTACACTTTGCCTGAGACAGAAAGTATATATGAGAGATTTTTAGATTATAAGCATGCTCTATACCCCAGATTCCTTTATTTAAGGTTTATGGTGATGGAAGATGCTTTTGTTGCATACAATGAGAAGATGATATGTGCTATTTTATGCAAGACCCATGGCTACAAAATGGGGTATAGTTTTGGAATGGTCATTTTTTCTTGGGAAAATAGATGCAATAAACATATTTTGATATTTAGTTTACAGAAATGCGATAACATATTGATCATATATCGACAACAAAACGATGACATAACAACAACACAACGATGATATAATGAAAACATAATAAACAGTTATCATTTCTGCAAAAAAATGCCAAAATATGCTTATTGTAGCTAATTGCCATTTTTTCTTTTACTGTATAGGATCGGTTGGAGGTACCATAAAACTCACTGCACATGATGCATTTTAAGGTATTAAAAACAACCAGATACAATATAACCTTTTAGGTTTAAAATGACTAAAACTATGTATCACTTGAAAGTTGAAATCCATTGGTCAAATATGTTCTTTAAGGGAAAGAACTCTTTCTTCCCTTCATCTCATATAGATCCTAATTTTCATGTGAGTTTATAATTCATAAGCTATTTTATTAAAATCAACCAAAACATCTTGATCTAATCTCATGATGTAAGTTCATTAATCTAATATGTTCAAGCAATGCCATTAGGATGATCTCACCTGGTTAACACGCCCTTTCCTAAGTACCTCTGGTGACAACTTAACGTATTTTAGAAAAGCTGCTGCATGACCTCGCAACCAATTATCACCATCAAGTACGGGTCGCCTACAAAAGAGAAAAACATAATTACTAAGTAAGATTAAATGGTAGCAAAACTATGTTCTTTTTTTTTTTAACTTTTCATCAACTCAAAAATTCCAAATGTCTACAATTATATTTGCAGAAAAAAATGGTGTATATCTATTATACATGTGCATGAGTAAGATACCCGATTAATTAACGACCTGTTCCGAGTCCATGGGGTCAAAATCCCTTGCCTATAAAGCCACGCACATGGAAATAAGAAAGGATTTCTTCCAAAATCAAGTAATGGTCCCTGCAGCATGCAGTGCCTATAAATATAAAAACCTTTGAATAATGAACCCAATCAAAAAAGAGGAAAAAGTAAAGCTACTTAAGAAAGTACTTTATCATAATACCGTGTACGCAGCTTCTGCAAATTTATGAAGATCAGCAGCCTCCCTGATCTTCTCTTCAGGTATATCCATGCAATCTTCAAAGGATTTAGGTGATTGTGTCTGGTTCCTCAATAGTGCTAGACCTGGAAAAATTATAGCAGTGTCATGCATGCCAAACAAAAGGCATGAAACTGAAACGGGAAAGAGTAAGGTAGGGTACAATCAAGTATAGATGAATTAACAAGTGAAACTATCAGAACAAACCTGCCATGAGTTCCAGATGTCCTGTGCCTGCTGCACGATAGGCAACAAGATCACCGAGTAATCGAGCTACTGAGAAAACCTCATCTTCTTCCAATACACTCCTGGATATATGAGAGACAAGCGAAATAGAAAACAAGTAGATATCTATTTTTAGATATAAAAATAAGCATGTTACTGTCCGTGTTTGTTAAGTATCATGTCTTCAACTAAATATGCAGGACGTACAAGTATTTGACGCGTCCCATACAGCACAAAGCCTCACGAAGGCCATGATCAAATACCTCCCTGTAATGAGCTTTCCATGCATCATCTTCAGTTGCATAAAAAGATCTCCATCTTAAAATATCAGTTCCTGTGAAACACTGTAGCAGTGCGGCAAAACACACCGTGAGCAAAAAAAAGCCCAGTAAATGTTGCTTCCACGAAATATTGTTTGAAGTTGACCCTGCATTATAAGCATTACAAAACTTCTGAAATTCCACACAAAATCAGGAATATGAAGAATTCTTGAAAAACAAGGAAAGTTTTATATTGCCCACGAAAAAGAAATGGAAAACTTCACATTATCTTTTTCTTTTCAAAATTTTATTTATAACCTTAAAATGGAAATCCTTGTCATTTAACAAAAGGAATATGTCTAGAACATGAATGAATTGTGAATACAAGGAGGAAGACGCCTTACCAAAATCACAATGACTTGATGTTCCATTGTCAGACATATGGCTAGCCATATTGTACAGAAGGTAAGATGCACCAATAAATTGCAGTACTGTAATAACTGTGGCAAACCGAGTCCACCAAAGCCATTTTTTGTACCTCACCTGTTCATTCAGAATGTTTTTTTTTTCACTGTTAATACAAGCATTGTGACACAAAGAGGTGTAAAAATAAGAAAATAAAATCACATGCATATATATTATATAGGGCAATTGTAAATCCACTTGCATATCTTCTTGAAGCTTACATAACATTCACAAACTATTTCATTAAAAGACACAGAGCCCATGTATGCAAGGAGTGTAGCAGATTAGGAAAAATGAAAAAAAAGAAAGTAAATCAAGAAACTTATAAAAATTTCCAAAGAAGATGAGATGAAGCTGGATTCTTTCTCTAGCTCACTACTTGGGATTATAATTCGCAGCCCTAGTGCTAACTCATCCAGTTAACGTTAAGCATGACGTGAAATGGCATTTGACAAGGTCGTGGTGGCACCAAGCATCAGGTGGCACACCCCAACCATATCCATAGAGTTCTGATGGCGCACTCCAATTCACCCATTAGGAAGCAGGAGGTGGTGTTAATTTATTTGGAGTGATTTCAAATTTCAATTCTTGGTGCGAGGCCAAGAACTGGTGTGAGGCCCCTAGAGCGATTTCAGTTTTCTGTGTTTACACTTCCACTAATCTTTCTAAGTTCTGCTGCCTTACTCTGCCCTACATCAACATGTGAAGCAAAAGTATAACAATCTGGTATAAGTAACCATCATATTCCTAACTCACATCCATCTAGTTTGCAAGAATTGTCGTCAAGAAATCATCCATATCCAAGAGCCTTATTTCCACTACTTCCTGCCAAAACCTCTTCCTCTTCATAAGCCTATCGACACACTCTATCCTCCACATTAGATCAAGAACAAGGATTAGGCAATGTATAGAGCTTCATGTAAAACCATAAAATTCCTTGACTAATTTCACCCTTTCCAAAATTCGAAAAAACTTTTTGAAGTGTGTATCCTCCTCCTCCTTAGCTAAAGGAAGATTTGGCGCAAAACCGTGCGCAATAGCGTTCTAGATTCATATAGCCAACTCCACTTAGTGGGATAAGGCTTGGTTGTTGTTATTGTATCCTCCTTCTCCTTGAACACTACAAAACTACGCAATGTTTGGAAATGTAGCTGGAGAATACGTTTTCATCGGACCTTATCCCCAAGCACGCATTCAATTCGTTTCACTTTCTCGGCAACCAAACAAGAACAAATAGATAAACAAAATCCAAATGGGGGAAAATGAAATGGTACAATTACCAATACGTACCCGTGTCTCGTGGCGAAAAGCGACGTCGACGGCGGCGGGGCTATTCGCGGGAGAATGCTCGAGAATGGTCATGGCGGTGGCTTCCTGGGCGAGGCCGGTGTTGACCATGGTGAAAATTCTCACAGCGGCCAAACAAGGAACGGCCATGAGAGGAATGGTGACGTGGTGGTCACAGGAAGGCAAAGCCATTAAGAGAAAGAAGCAACCGAGAAGGAAAACCACGGCGTTGGCGACGCCCAGGACGACGGCGGCCGATCGCAGGTTCTTGAACTTTGAGACCCACATCGCCCTCCACTTGAAACGAATTTCATAAATTAAAACAAAGTTGCAAACTTGCAATCAAATAGCATCATCCCCGGAAAATTTTGGATTTCGGATTTGTAATTTGATTAAAAATGTGCCAATTCTTTTGATTCTTAGCCTGAAAAACACACAACCCAACGCAGTGTTTGGGCGGGCTGAAATTCCCAAGTTGGATTCGCAACTTTAGTCCATGGAGAAATGCTGACTCAAGGTGGGACTCTAAATAGATTGTCTGCCTCTGATGTTATTTGCACCATATTTTATAGTTAAGGGTAGAAATTAACGCTAAATTATGAAGTGACAAAGAGCTTATCAAGACTCGAGTCTCATGAGAGCAAGTCCACCTCAAGAAATACCCAGACTATTGGGCAGTCCAATCCCCCTCTCGAAAATCACCCCAAGCCTACCCGATCCACCGTGGGACTGAAGTCAGCTACGTTTTTCTTTTTTTTGGCGTCGAGCGTGTGAAATACACGCATGATCTAAGGCACGTCGCCCGACAGAAACGTGTCAACTTTTGAACTGTTGGTTTTCTGATTAACGTCCTAGATTATTAGGCTTAAAAAAATCATAAAGTTCCAAATGTTTATGTTGGCATACGTGTTAAAATCTGAACTATTAGATTACAATTTCTTTTTATAATTCACCGGTCTGTATTAATTAAGTTAAAAAAAATATTTAAAATATATATAAAAATTAGTCAATGCCACTATTGAGCAATCTATAAAAATTGCACTTTCGAATAATAAAACGTGACGTGACGAAATTGGCTAAAATCCTATCTGAAAATAAAATTATCTTATATTATTTTATAAAAATAATAATAATATTTAAGTACGAATTGCCTGGACTATTAAGGGTGACGATGCACTTATATAGTTACTGTTCACTAAAATGAGTAATTACCTTGCTCAATAGTCTGGGCTGTAATAACCTGAACATATGTTACGGTGGAGTTGCTCTAGAGAGTTTCCTTGGCATTTCTCTGGTCCATATACAACAACACTCTATCCAATGATAAGGTTATCTCTCTAATGCATTTCTCAAAAGTGCTTTCCCCAATAATGTAGCTTTTAAGTACCATGAAACTTAAAACGCACCAGGACATGGCTAAATCAAGTCAAACTTTGGATTTACTCATCCCAAACAAAGATTACTCATAACCAAAACTAAAACTTAAAGTCACGCAAGAGCGGTTTCACACGTAGATATCATATTTACTTATCTAAATTACAGCACTAATGAAAACCAAACATGGCATAAGGCATTTGCATGGCCGAATTTGTAGACGTTCAGTTTTCTAGGATATTAAAAACAAAACATAAAAAGGGGGACTTCAAGCCAACAAGGCTCCCCGCCGCTTTGCAAGGATCGGAAGAGGAATGTCTATCGTACACAACATAATCCTTGCTTTCCAAGAGTTGGTTGGAATTAAGTTTAAAGTGAGTGGAGATATTGGCAGTTGGGGCAACAAGGAGAAGACCTGGAAAGAACAAGAAGGAGATGGCATTTCCTGCAAGCCAAAGCTACCGTGTTATTGTTATTACTATTGTCTCAGCTGCCATCATACTTGCAGTTGTTGTTCTTGTTGGATAGTGGCCAAATTAGTGGCCAAGTGGCCAAAAGTATATAATAAAAAATGAAGGACATAATGATGTGGGAACATCATTATGAATGATGTGGGAACATCATTATGAGGAGAAAAATGAATATGTCTGCTGAAAAGAAAAAGGAAGGTCATGATGATGTTTGTAAATGAATGATTATTCTTTACTTTGGATTTTTTATTGGATGATTTTGTAAGGATAAAGGTTGCAGCCGAATGTGGGAGGTGTGGGGGAGCGGCATCAGATGAGAGCCATACTAGGGAGAGCGTTCGGCTCTCCCATTTGAAATAGTGCTTCTCCTTCCCATTTGTTTGTAATCCCCTTTTGTTAGTAATCCCTCAACCAAAGATGTTGTTGCTACATGTTGTGTAGCTTTTGGGAGAGATGATATTTGATGTGTGTCCATCTTCTCCAATTGTTCTTTGTGAGAGTGAGAGCTATTGGGTGTATGTGAGATTTGGGTTTGAAAGTTAAAACTCTATTTGTAATCTCCTTTTGATATTAGTGGAATTTTCTCGCCGTCTCGGAACTAGACGTAGGCTTACGCCGAACCAGTATAAATCCTTGTGTCATTTGGATTATTTGTCTTATCATATTTTGCCGTTGTAGCTTATTGGTTTCATATTTGACGCTTCCGCACAACAGTTCTTGGCCTCATCGATTGTCTCGGAGCTTCGGTTGAATCGCGAACCAGAACTTGAACCTGAGAGCGTTGAGATGTTGAGCTCAAGGTTCACAGATGCCTGGTTGATAGGCCAGTTCCACCTCTTTCTCGAGGTCTTTCTGTTCAGATAGTACATTTTCCCGGACTGCACCAAACAAGTACGTACCAGACAATAATATCAATTACAACAAATAATTAAGACAAAACCATATCTTAACCTTGATTAATTAAGAACATGTGAAGTTATTAGTTGAAAATAAATAGATCATAATCAAACATATTCTCATGCATGTACATTACTGTTTAAAATGACTAAAGGTGACCCCAAGCCAACAACGCTCCTCGTTCTGCGAGATTCAGGAGGCATCTACAATACACATCCTTACCTTACTTTGCATATAGGTTTTTTCACTCAAACATGTGACCTTTCGGTCACAAAAAAGTAACATTTCCGTTATGCCAAGACTCGCCCTCTATCACACTACTCAAATATGCGGAAAAAAAAATTTCTACTAGGTATTAATCTTTGTATTACTGCACCAAACAAAAATATTAAATTTCTTAATCTGAGATTTAATATTTCTCTTTAAATCAAAATACTCAAACCAAAAAGATTTCAATCTAAGATTATTGCTCAATCAAGATCAAGGCACTGTTCCCAATCCAATGGAAGGGGGTCTTTAAGTTGAGGATCAACGCTTGTTTGAAGTGATGGAGATGGAGCACTACTCTTCAGGTGGTGATCTTGGAAAAACTTCCTCTTCCTACAAGTACCTTTGCTTTCTGCAGATTCCACTGGACTACTGCTACTGCTACTATTTTTATTAAAACCCAACTGTGTTGGACCTAAAGAGAGCTCTGGAATTTCCATTTTCTGGAAACTTTCACAAAGCGGGAACCTTGTTAGGTTGAGGTCGCCCTCTTAAAAAAACCTAGGATTTGATATCACAAGAAAAGAGAAAGTATAAGTATATAAATGGTGGGGTGTGTAGGGCAAAGTATTGCTCTCTACCTATCTGGATTGCAGGAGTCATGCAAAAGGTGCTTCTCTACTTAAAGAGTGCTCTTAAATTGCCCTCATCAAACGTACATTCATTAAAAGGAGGAAGACGGGCAAGCATTTAATGGTGGCAAGTAGATATCACTTTTAATCCATCAAAAACCAACTCTCTCTACCAGCATTTAAGGTCAATCTACACATACCATCTCTCTATCGAGAGTAATGTACTCGGAAGTTGGAACACCGCCGCGTAGCATTACTAGAAGTGGGACACATACAAACCATGTCATCCACTCATATTAGAACATGTGTAATAGTCACGAAACGTGATGGTAATCGAAATACACCTAAAAATTGCTCGTCCGTATCCATCTCTGCGCTAACATTTTCGCTTTTTGTTTTTCGATTTTTTTTTATTGGAAAATAAAGACATCAAATAATCCATCTCACTTGCTCATCTCTCATTTACAACTATTACCAACAGAATCTGAATTCATATGCATTTAAAACTTATTTTGTTACACAACATTTTAAGTGTGATGGATGATATGCTACCCAGTACTACTAGTCTCTTTCTTCTTTTTCACTCATCTGATGATGGAATCTTAAACCCATGAGAAGCCAGTTGCTTAGACCTTGTTCGGCTTCTGAAGAATCAGGAAACCCTGTGAGACACGAGCTGTTATATAAGTAGACGTCAAGCATCACTGCCCTGAAGTTGATCAAGAATCTGCAAGACATTAGAAGATGATATTAAGTTCATGGCAATTCCCATCCACAAACTTTTGGGATTGGATTCTCTGCCTGATTATTCAAGGCTTTCAATCTTCAACCATACATACATACATATATATGCATACAACTATACCAGACCATTCCTTGTCTTGAATCGTCCATCCAAAACTTTTGCAGCGAGATTTCATTTTAACAATCATGTCTGCCATATTTCTTTCATCAGAAAGAGTACATGTGACTCGATGAGAATAGACTGAATAGTCAGTGTATAGTTTGGTAATGTTTAGAGCGGGTAGAGGCTACTGGTCCAAACTTTTAACTTTACAAGCACCTCACCCTTAAAATCCTTAGTCTTACAATGTATTCACTATTAGGAATCGTGAGTACGTGATCAATGTAAATTTACGTACCTGCTGGTCCATAACAATTCTGAAATAACTTTTGTCACAAAATATTTTCCACAAGAACAAGTAGACGCACAAAGATTTTCATTTTTCATGTGTAGTGAGTGGGAGAGAGAGAAGGAAGTATTTGCGAGTCTCAGCTGTCACCAAGTGAAGCTACAAACAATTCTTTTACAGGGTAACAATTGAACTATGGTGCGAGGTCAGAACAACCATTTCAAATAAAACGGTTTGGAGCATTAAGCATCTTGAACAATAAAACAAGACAAGTTCAACTCACCAGAATAGAAACCTTATGATCCATCCCAACATGGGAACTTCATAGAGGAATGCCTTCACAGATGGCCAAAAACGACTGCAAGAAAACAAGAAAAAGTCAATACAACAAAATTAAATATAAAATATAAGAGGATGCAGTTGATTCGATTTTCTGTATAGTGTATATACTTGCAGAGTTCATTAAGTAGGTTGACTCTGGCAAACTTCACGACAGTTTAACGATTCGCAGATTCCATGAAGTTGAGTGAGACACGTGTACACAGTTATATATTGAGTATGACAAAGTTCAACAAACTTCTTGCATGGATTATAGGGACTCGAGGAAGATTTAGGGTTTATACAATTAATACAACAACAACAACAACAAAGCCTTTTCCCACTAAGTGGGGTCGGCTATATGAATCCTAGAACGCCATTGCGCTCGGTTTTGTGTCATGTCCTCCGTTAGATCCAAGTACTCTAAGTCTTTTCTTAGAGTCTCTTCCAAAGTTGTCCTAGGTCTTCCTCTACCCCTTCGGCCCTGAACCTCTGTCCCGTAGTCACATCTTCGAACCGGAGCGTCAGGCCTTCTTTGCACATGTTCAAAATCACCGGAGCCGATTTTCTCTCATCTTTCCTACAATTTCGGCTACTCCTACTTTACCTCGGATATCCTCATTCCCAATCTTATCCTTTCTCGTGTGCCCACACATCCCACGAAGCATCCTCATCTCCGTTACACCCATTTTGTGTACGTGTTGATGCTTCACCACCCAACATTCTGTGCCATACAACATCGCTAGCCTTATTGCCGTCCTATAAAATTTTCCCTTGAGCTTCAGTGGCCTACGACGGTCACACAACACGCCGGATGCACTCTTTCCATCCAGCTCGTATTCTATGGTTGAGATCTCCATCTAATTCTCCGTTCTCTTGCAAGATAGATCCTAGGTAGCGAAAACGATCGCTTTTTATGATCTTCGCTAGATTGCTCCAGTCATTAGTGTGGATAAGTATATAAATGGATAGAGATAGGAAAGCAAACACAAGATGTACGTGGTTCACCCAGATTGGCTACGTCCACGGAATAGAAGAGTTCTCATTAATTGTGAAGGGTTTACACAAGTACATAGGTTCAAGCTCTCATTTAGTGAGTACAAGTGAATGATTTAGTACAAATGACATTAGAAAATATTGTGGTAGAATGATCTCGTAATCACGAAACTTCTAAATATCGGAGTGTGATGTCGTCTTGACTTGCCTTATCTGTCTCATAGGTAGATGTGGCATCTTCTCTGGAAGTACTCTTCCTCCATCCAGGGGTGGTATCTTTAACTGGTGGAGATGCACAAGGTAATGTATCAATTTCACTTGAAGCTTACTTGTAGTTTCAGGCTTGGTCAAGCGCGATACAAACCATGTAGTAGGAGTCCCCCAAGTCGCCGAGCTAGGGGGTCTGCTGAAAGAGGTGACAGACAAGGTAAGCAATCAGAGCTCCGACTGATTGTTCACCTTCTCCCCATCTTGCAGCAGCATGAAGGATAAAAGAGAGAAAAATGAGAAGAGATGATATGAGATACTTTTGCTTTTGAAGAAGTAACTTTCCACAGGCTTATTCTTGAACTGAGCTGGAGGGTTTTCTGGTTTTCTCCAGAGTATAAGGCCGACTGAAGAATTTGAGGGTCAAAACAAGTCCATCAAATCTAGAGTACGTTCCACCCTGCTAATATGGGATACTTTTGCTTTTGACAGAGTAATGAATGTATCGGCACGTGTGCTGTTACGCTTGTCTCCACATGCTTCCTTGTATCCTTCGCACTTGCCCTATCTGTTCCTCAAGCAGATGCGGAATCTTCCCTGGAAACATAAGATGTTGAAGATGAGTACTCGAGAGCAATGCCAGGTAAGTAATAAGGTAAGGGGTTCCAAGCAGTCAGTTCCTGGCTGGAAGCTTGATTCCAAGTGCTGACTGATTGCTCTTTTTCTCCTTGTCTTGCAGGTAAAAACAAGGCCAAAAGAAAAGACAGGGAAAAAGCATGATATGGGATACTCTTGCTTTTAACCCTGATGATATGAGATATTCTTGCTCTAGTATAGCTTGTTTGCAGAGGTATTATCGGGGGGAAAGAAAGCTGAATATTTCGAAAGGCTTCGTTGGGAGTGCCCTCTCAGATATGATGAAGGGTTGAGCATTTTTGCAGGTCTGCCTGTCCGTTGGGGATGGAGGTCGACATATATAGGAGTCTCCCTAACAACAAGTAGTAATGCTATTCCTTTACCCTGCTTGGTCATAGCACGGTAGTGGGAGCTGCCAGTTTCACATGTTTTAACTCTGTCAGAGCACTTTGAAAAAGTGGTCTGTGGTATCTGGCTCTCGAGATTCGGAGAACGATGCCTCTTCGATTTTTGAGAAAGCAATCATGCTGGGGGTATGACTCTCGAGATTCGGAGAGCAGTGTCTCTTCGATTTTTGAGGAAGTAATCATGTTGGGAGTCTGGCTCTCGAGATTCGGAGGGCGGTGCCTCTTCGATTTTGGAGCAAGCAATCTTGTTGGGAGTGTTGTCTCGAATGTGAGTAAAGGTTGGGCATGTTTGCTAGTCTACCTTGCCACGAAGCACAAAGGTTGACACACAGGGACTTTCCAATTATCCAGCAATGGTACTGTTCCTTTACCCTCTCTTCGATTTTGAGAAAAGTAGTCATGTTGGGAGTCTGGCTCTCGAGATTCGGAGGACGGTGCCTCTTCGATTTTGGAGCAAGCAATCTTATTGGGAGTGTTTTCTCGAATGTGAGTAAAGGTTGGGCATGTTTTGCTAGTCTACCTTGCCACGAAGCACAGAGGTTGACACACAGGGACTTTCCAATTATCCAGCAGTGGTACTGTTCCTTTACAGTTGTGGGTAATAATATGGTAGCTAGACCTTCAAAATTTATGTGTCTAAACTTTTGTTAGTGCTGTTGTTTCTTTGCTATTCTTTTACCTTTCTTGGTCAGAGCGATGTAGTGGGAGCTGCAAGCTTTCACGTGCTCAACTTTGGCAGAGAACTTTGGCAAAGTTATTTGTGGTACCCATGAGCTATTGTTGCGTGTGGGAAGTGGGTGATTGAACAGTAAGATTCATGTGCTTTCTACTTCACCAGAAGTCTTCGACATAATGCCCATAATTTCTGCAAAGCTGAGTGTGCGTGTGACAGGTGCTGACAAGGCTAGAAAAGTAGGTGCCTCTTCGATTTCTGAGATCGACCCTCGTGGTCTCTGAGCAGCCCAGCATTTGAGAAAGCGAGCGCCTCTTCGATTGATTCGGAGAACGATGCCTCATCGATTTTTGAAAAAGCAATCATGCTGGGGTCTGGCTCTCGAGATTCGGGGAGCAGTGTCTCTTCGATTTTTGAGAAAGTAATCATGTTGGGAGTCTGGCTCTCGAGATTCGGAGGGCGGTGCCTCTTCGATTTTGGAGCAAGCAATCTTGTTGGGAGTGTTTTCTCGAATGTGAGTAAAGGTTGGGCATGTTTGCTAGTCTACCTTGCCACGAAGCGCAGAGGTTGACACACAGGGACTTTCCAATTATCCAGCAATGGTACTGTTCCTTTACCCTCTCTTCGATTTTTAAGAAAGTAGTCATGTTGGGAGTCTGGCTCTCGAGATTCGGAGGACGGTGCCTCTTCGATTTTGGAGCAAGCAATCTTATTGGGAGTGTTTTCTCGAATGTGAGTAAAGGTTGGGCATGTTTGCTAGTCTACCTTGCCACGAAGCACAGAGGTTAACACACAGGGACTTTCCAATTATCCAGCAGTGGTACTGTTCCTTTACCCTTGTGGGTAATAATATGGTAGCTAGACCTTCAAAATTTATGGGTCTAAACTTTGTTAGTGCTGTTTCTTTGCTATTCTTTTACCCTTCTTGGTCAGAGCGATGTAGTGGGAGCTGCAAGCTTCACGTGCTCAACTTTGGCAGAGAACTTTGGCAAAGTTATCTGTGGTACCCATGAGCTATTGTTGCGTGTGGGAAGTGGGTGATTGAACAGTAAGATTCATGTGTTTTCTACTTCCCCAGAAGTCTTTGACAGAATGCCCATAATTTCCGCAAAACTGAGTGTGCGTGTGACAGGTGCTGACAAGGCTGGAAAAGGCTGGAAAAGTAGGTGCCTCTTCGATTTTTGATATCGGCCCCCGTGGTCTCTGGGGAGCCCAGCTTTTGAGAAAGCGAGCGCCTCTTCGATTATTGAGATCGGCCTTCGTGGTCTTTGAGCAGCCCAACTTTTGAGAAAGCAAATGCCTCTTCGATTTCTGAGATCAACCCTCGTGATCTCTAAGCAGCCCAACTTTTGAGAAAGCAAACGCCTCTTCGATTTCTGAGATCAACCCTCGTGATCTCTAAGCAGCCCAACTTTTGAGAAAGCAAACGCCTCTTCGATTTCTGAAGCTTCGTCGAGTGCAGATTTTTATAGGGGCTGGCATTAAGTTCCAAAGCACACTTGAATCTCCACCAGTAGAAGCTTCATTCTTACACTTCTAAGATCTTGATTTGTCCGACCTCTTCTCTCTTCAACACCTTTGAAAATGTCTGGCCCCTCCGACCGTCGTTTTGACTTGAACCTTGTTGAAGAGGCAGCCCCGCCTTCTCCAGACAACATATGGCGCCCATCCTTCGTCTCCCCTACTGGTCCTCTTACCGTTGGGGATTCCGTGATGAAGAATGATATGACCGCTGCGGTGGTGGCCAGGAACCTTCTCACTCCCAAAGATAACAGACTACTTTCCAAACGGTCTGATGAGTTAGCTGTTAAGGATTCGCTGGCTCTCAGTGTTCAGTGTGCAGGTTCTGTGTCTAATATGGCCCAACGCCTATTTGCTCGAACCCGCCAAGTTGAATCATTGGCGGCTGAAGTGATGAATCTCAAACAGGAGATTAGAGGGCTCAAGCATGAGAATAAACAGTTGCACCGGCTCGCACATGACTATGCTACAAACATGAAGAGGAAGCTTGACCAGATGAAGGAAACTGATGGTCAGGTTTTACTTGATCATCAGAGATTTGTGGGTTTGTTCCAAAGGCATTTATTGCCTTCGTCTTCTGGGGCTGTACCGCGTAATGAAGCTCCAAATGATCAACCTCTGATGCCTCCTCCTTCTAGGGTTCTGTCCAGTACTGAGGCTCCAAATGATCCCCCTCCGGTGCCTTCTCTTTCTGGGGCTCTACCGACTGCTGAGACTTCTCCTAAGCAACCTTTGTGAAGGCTCCCTCTTGTGTGCTTATTTTGACTCATGTATATGTACATATTTGTAGCTTATCGGGGATATCAATAAATAAGCTTTCATTTCAACGTATTGTGTTAAATACACCAAAGCCTTCTACGCTAAGTTCTTTGAATTTTCTTTTGTTAAAGCTTGTATGTTGAAGCTTTCTGAGTGGAGCATGTAGGTTGGGGTAGTGTTCCCTTAATTTCCCGAGTGAGGAAAACTTCTCGGTTGGAGACTTGGAAAATCCAAGTCACTGAGTGGGATCGGCTATATGAATCTTAGAACGCCATTGTGCTCGATCCTGTGTCATGTCCTTCGTTAGATCCAAGTACTCTAAGTCTTTTCTTAGAGTCTCTTCCAAAGTTTTCCTAGGTCTTCCTCTACCCCTTCGGCCCTGAACCTCTGTCCCATAGTCGCATCTTCTAATCGGAACGTCAGTAGGCCTTCTTTGCACATGTCCAAACCACCGTAACCGATTTTCTCTCATCTTTCCTTCAATTTTCGGCTACTCCTACTTTACCCCGGATATCCTCATTCCTAATCTTATCCTTTCTCGTGTGCCCACACATCCAACAACGAAGCATCCTCATCTCCGCTACACCCATTTTGTGTACGTGTTGATGTTTCACCGCCCAACATTCTGTGCCATACAGCATCGCCGGCCTTATTGCCGTCCTATAAAATTTTCCCTTGAGCTTCAGTGGCATACGGCGGTCACACAACACGCCGGATGCACTCTTCCACTTCATCCATCCAGCTTGTATTCTATGGTTGAGATCTCCATCTAATTCTCCGTTCTTTTGCAAGATAGATCCTAGGTAACGAAAACGATCGCTCTTTGGTATTTCTTGATCTCCGATCCTCACCCCTAACTCGTTTTGGCCTCCATTTGCACTGAACTTGCACTCCATATATTCTGTCTTTGATCGGCTTAGGCGAAGACCTTTAGATTCCAACACTTCTCTCCAAAGGTTAAGCTTTGCATTTACCCCTTCCTGAGTTTCATCTATCAACACTATATCGTCTGCGAAAAGCATACACCAAGGAATATCATCTTGAATATGTCGTGTTAACTCATCCATTACCAACGCAAAAAGGTAAGGACTTAAGGATGAGCCTTGATGTAATCCTACAGTTATGGGAAAGCTTTCGGTTTGTCCTTCATGAGTTCTTACGGCAGTCTTTGCTCCTTCATACATATCCTTTATAGCTTGGATATATGCTACTCGTACTCCTTTCTTCTCTAAAATCCTCCAAAGAATGTCTCTTGGGACCCTATCATATGCTTTTTCCAAATCTATAAAGACCATGTGTAAATCCTTTTTCCCATCTCTATATCTTTCCATCAATCTTCGTAAGAGATAGATTGCCTCCATGGTTGAGCGCCCTGGCATGAACCCGAATTGGTTGTCCGAAACCCGTGTCTCTTGCCTCAATCTATGCTCAATGACTCTCTCCCAAAGCTTCATTGTATGACTCATTAGCTTAATACCCCTATAGTTCATGCAATTTTGTACGTCGCCCTTATTCTTGTAGATAGGCACCAAAGTGCTCATTCGCCACTCATTTGGGCATCTTCTTCGTTTTCAAAATCCTATTGAAAAGGTCAGTGAGCCATGTTTATACCTGTCTCTCCCAAAAGTTTCCACACTTCGATTGGTATATCGTCTGGGCCTATTGCTTTTTTATGCTTCATCTTCTTCAAAGCTACAACCACTTCTTCCTTCCGGATTCGACGATAAAAAGAATAGTTTCTACACTCTTCTGAGTTACTCAACTCCCCTAAAGAAGCACTCATTTCATGTCCTTCATTGAAAAGATTATGAAAATAACCTCTCCATCTGTCTTTAACCGCGTTCTCTGTAGCAAGGACCTTTCCATCCTCATCCTTGATGCACCTCACTTGGTTTAGGTCCCTTGTCTTCTTTTCCCTTACTCTAGATAGTTTATAGATATCCAACTCTCCTTCTTTGGTATCTAGTCGTTTATACATATCGTCGTAAGCCGCTAACTTAGCTTCTCTGACAGCTTTTCTTCGCCTCTTGCTTCGCTTTTCTATACCTTTCACCATTTTCATCAGTCCTCTCCTTGTATAAGGCTTTACAACATTCCTTCTTAGCCTTCACCTTTGTTTGTACCTCCTCATTCCACCACCAAGATTCCTTTTGGTGTGGGGCAAAGCCCTTGGACTCTCCTAATACCTCTTTTGCTACTTTTCGGATACAACTAGCCATGGAATCCCATATTTGGCTAGCTTCCCCCTCTCTATCCCACACACATTGGGTGATTACCTTCTCTTTTGAAAATGGCTTGTTTTTCTTCTTTTAGATTCCACCATCTAGTCCTTGGGCACTTCCAAGTCTTGTTCTTTTGTCTTACTCTTTTGATATGTACATCCATCACCAACAAGCGATGTTGATTAGCCACGCTCTCTCCTGGTATAACTTTGCAATCCTTACAAGTTATACGATCCCCTTTCCTCATTAGAAGAAAATCTATTTGTGTTTTTTGACGACCCACTCTTGTAAGTGATCACATGTTCTTCTCTCTTCTTAAAGAAGGTGTTGGCTAAGAAGAGATCATATGCCATTGCAAAATCCAAGATAGCTTCCCCATCCTCGTTTCTCTCCCCAAAACCATGGCCACCATGAAAACCTCCATAGTTGCCTGTCTCCCTGCCCATGTGTCCATTTAAATCTCCTCCTATAAATAAACTTCTCCGTCTGAGCAATTCCTTGCACCAAGTCTCCAAGATCTTCCCAAAATTTCTCCTTCGAACTCGTATCCAACCCTACTTGAGGTGCGTACGCACTAATCACATTGATAAGTTCTTGTCCTATTACAATCTTGATTGCCATGATTCTATCTCCTACCCTCTTGACATCTACAACATCTTGTACCAAGGTCTTGTCCACGATGATGCCAACACCGTTTCTCGTTCTATTTGTGCCCGAATACCAAAGTTTAAACCCTGAGTTTTCTAGATCCTTTGCCTTACTACCAAACCCACTTAGTTTCTTGTAGGCACATAATATTTATCCTTCTCCTCACCATAACTTCCACTACTTCCATAGATTTTCCCGTTAAGGTTCCTATATTACACGTTCCTAAACGCATTTTGCTCTCTTGAACTCTACCCTTCTGTCCTAACTTCTTCACCCTCCCCCGTCTAATAGGATCAAAGTACTTCTTTTGTGTGTCCCGGGTAAAGTTGATAGGAGCATATGCTCCCAAACAACTTTGAGTGGAGTCGTTCGAAAAGAAGTTTCTATGGCCCCCTTGCTCATTTAACACTGCATCCGGGTGCCGATGGAGATACAGCGACCCTTGCTCACTTATCACTGTGCTCAGGCCACACAGCGCGCCACTTACGGGTGACGCCCTAGCTTTAGCGCGATTTTGTTCTGGATTCATTTTCATAAGGATTCGACGTGATCATGGAGTGCCGGCTGTCGACTACCTGACGCCCTCCCCCTCCTCCTTTATCCGGGCTTGGGACCGGCCATGTAAGACATAGGCGGAGTTAGGGTTTATACAATTAATAAAACATAAAATAAATTCATAAGGGTCAATTCCATATAAGAAAAACTAGTAATCACAGGATAATTAGTATCCATGAATACATAACATTCAAAACACACATAATACAAACATGCAAATATAACAATTGTTATTACAATAAAAATAATATACCAATTGAGAAAACTAACAAGAACATAGCTTTCAAAAGAAATATACTGTCCATCAACTAAAATGTCTTCAAACTCTATACTCCAATTGGCTGTACCCTTTTTCCCAAACGGCATAACACACAATGATGATTTGATTTCCATTGCAAAATCTTCCTTACATACTCCACAATGAACAAGATATAGGGGGAAAACAATCACTTAAAACCCAGTTCCATTAGACAAATACATTATAAATTTGTTGACAGTGCCATCGGTTGAAAGCTTCTAAACATAAGAGCTACAAACTGAACATGTGTGCAGGACCATCAACTATCAGTACAAACCAAGAAGCTTAGGAAAAGCTATAACATAATCTTAACACCTCTGTCAACAACTTACTATTCGGTTTGTATAAATAAGTTAATGTGATCCAGAGTTGTTCAATAAAGATCTCCTAGCTACTTGTATGAATAAAACAAAGACAACTTATCTCCGAACAACAACTCCGCCATGGCATGTTCATATTTAAGCAAGTTAGTTTGAGCCAGAAACAAGATTCTCACTGAATATGAATAAAATACAATCAGTTCTTCTATCAAACAGTATTTATATGTGTACACTGTAATAGCTAAACGATAAGTTGTAATAATATTTTTTCAATTCTTCATTCCAAAAAATCCTTGCAGACTGCAGGTGATTAGTCTACAACCCATGAAAAACTGGAACAGAATCCCAAGAACAATAACTGTGAAATCAAGATGCTGGCTTGTATATCAAGCTTTTTAAGTTTGTATTTTGTACCTCCACCGGTGAACTAAAACTATCTCTTAAGACAAATCCTAACAGACCCGCCCGTGATGATTTCACTAACTCTAGGTAACTAGAGAGTTTTGTTAATTCCATCAAAACCCAGAACAGTCTAGATATACTACAGACTGAGATATTATTCAGAGCAGAGCACAATGTTAAGAGCAGAAACTAACCCGAACAAGTTAAGGCAGCCATATATTTCCAAGATTATACCAACTATTGGCCACCGAACGAAAAGGAAAAAGAGACCAAGAAGAAAAGATACAGAGCCCTGCAGGAAAAAAATCAACATTAGATCTAACTCACAATAGATAAGTTATATTTGTTCAACACAATGTAGATATCCAGTTCTTCCTCATTAAAAAATGCATAATCAGTTAGTATTCAAAGCTCATCAATGCTTAATTTTGTAAATAAATTAAGGGACAACAAATCAGATTGTCGCTAGACTCACTACTGTATTCCCCCAAACAACTAATGGCTATGTTAAAACAGAGATCTGACCAACAATGAGTGAAGATGGTATCTCAAGAATAAAGAAAACACTAAAATGCATGCTCGAGTAAGTCAAAGGTTTAAAGTTCTAAATCCTCATTTAGAAACTGAACTTAGAAACCTTATATTAATGCATTTTAGGCCGTTGGTTGTCACTTGTATATTTCAGAATATTTTTTTAAGGTGTTTGATTTAAAGCACCAGAAAACATGTTATTGAATCAAAATATCAGAAAAGTGTGTTTCTGTAGAATGTTAACAGGTCATGATACCTAGTCGACCAGTCGAGGCACTCAATGATGTTTTACACTACTTGAAAGTTTTGATTTCTGACAGAACTAGAATGGCAAACTGATCCACTACTAGGGGAGCCACCAATTAGCCCTACTATTGTTTAATAAAATCCTTATTTTGTTTCAATTACCCAGAGAGTTATCCTGTTAGTTTCACGTTTCAGCTGATGAAAACTGCATCAGGATTTTATACTTAATATTTTACACAATTTCTACTTGGTTACGAACTTCCAACACGTTAGTTGATGTTCTGAATGTTTTAGGGATGTCTATGGCTTGTGTACTAGGGTTTCACTAAGTAAATGCTATTACAAGTTGCCTTTAATTAGATACCTTTCCGTGAGTGCACATTCATGCTCTAAAATACCCCCTTTGGTTGGTGGTGTCTCAGAGTAGGGTTTAGTGGGGTTTAAGGCTTAGGGTTTAGGACACTAGGGATAGGAAACCCTAATCCCATAATGGATTCCAAAAACAAAATAAAAAGGAAAATAAATTGTAAAAATCATGGAATTCTTAATCAGTTATATTTCGGGTTTATTTTACTAGCGTTTAGGGTATATGGGTTTAGAGTTTAAGATATTCACAATAACAAATAATTTTGTTGGTCTAATCTTCGCTGAATTGTAGAATGCCAGCTAAATGCAAAAAACGAATGCTGATAAAGTTCTGTTTATGAGTACCTACTGCCCAAAAATTTACTCAGTACTAGAACTTCCCTCATTAAAGAAAAACAATGGATCCGTCACTGATACCGCTACTCTAGCAAAAAACGAATGCTGATAAAGTTCTGTTTATGTGGCATTGGATGAGGAAACGAAAACAAAAAATGAGCATCCTAATAAATGATTCAGTGAAAGCTGGTAATTTCTCATACCTTTAAGTTTGCTTTGCTAGTGAAGAGATTCCATGTAGAACGCCAACCAAGTAAAAGGGCCACCCCAGTCAACCAAAATATCTGAAATGGGAGATACAATAATACAACAAAATACAAGAAAATAAAACACTAGTCCAATTCCACACACAAATATGTAGATATAGATATACATATACATATACATATGCCTGAAAGAAGGATTGGAAATTAAGGAAACCCCTTACATTCCCTAGAGCAAGCAAGCCTCTGTCGAAGAAAAGCATCACACCCAGAAATGTGAAAAGGATGCCAAAGCCAAGGAGACCCAACCCAACCTCTGCAAAGTTTAAGCAAAACTTTTGAGGTTATGAGCCACCCAGATCATTTTCTTTGATCCAAAATTCGAAAATCCAAAACAAAAACAATTCTTACTTTTCTGTTCACTCAATTCATAAGCCATCTCTGGGCAACTTCTAATTGACGGGTTCAATCGAAAACCACAAACTGCAATGTGAATGTTAAGAATACAAGAACCCAATGAAATTTCTACATCAACAGAAACCCAAATGAAGGAATTTTGAAGAGAGAGAGAAGACCTATGTTGCGTATCAACAACGGTGATTTGGAGAGGAGGATACCTCCAAGTTTTATCCTTTTCTTCTGTTTCCTGACCGGAGGAAAGCTTATGAAGGTTATGGCTTCACAGACGGAGTGGAGGACTAGTTGGGATAATAATCATTAGGTTATATTTGCCGGAGTCTACAGGTTTTGTGCAGATTCGCAGGTAACTCATGAGGAAGAAGACGATAATTGTGCCCTAATTTTTTTTTTTTTTAAATTTAAAGTTACACGGCGTCGTTCTGTTAAAAAAAAGTACGTTGCGTTGCGTGCAATAGAGTTGCATAATTGCATTTGCTGACAAACTTTTGTTTTTTAAATTTATTTTTATTCTTGACCCACCTTCTTTATCCCACTCAAATTGGCAACTCCAGCTTGAGAAAGGCGGTAGGGCAACTTCCTATTCAATCCTCTCTAATAAAAACAGTAATTATCTTTAATGAATAGTAATTTTCTTTTGCATTTACATCCTTAAACTGAATAGTCATAACAATATACAATAAAATATTAATATTTTTTATTTAATAAAATATAAAAAATAATTTTATTTGTAATTTTGAATAGGATTTTTAATCGATTTCATTGTACCACGTGTCATTAAATAAGAAATTACAATCCAAAATATTTGAGAAAATATAAAATTGTAGTGTAAGTTGGAAGATAGGGATAACATATTTATAAAAAAAAAATTAATTCAATTTTTTCATTATTTTTTTATTAATTTTTTACATTTTTTAATTAATTTTTTAACTTTTTTTATTAATTTTTTTATATTTTTTTATTAATTTTAAAATGGGCCTTGGGCTCTTGGGCCACCAATTCGAGCTGGGCCTCTCACTCGGGCCCCTCTCAGTCCACACACTGGCTAGAGCTTGCAGCTCTGGCTATTCAGTTGGAAAAATGACCAGTTCATCAGGCTATTCCCTTCGCTATAGTTGCTCTGATATATGCTAAAGCCCTACGGCAAAAATCATTGTTCATAAGGACAATGTAAAGACGGAAATACCCCCCACATTTGGGAATTTTTTATAACTAGCCATATTTTGCACCACAAAATGATTTTTAACCAACATTTTATTATTCTTACAAATTTAACCAAAAACTCATGCAAAAGTACTAAATTACCCGCTCCTTTCTTCTTTTATCTCTTCCCCCTCTCGAATCCCATCAGTCCACCATACCCCACCCCAACCCAACTCAACCTGGCTTTTCTCCCAAATCCGCCACCACTAGCTAGCACCCACTACGACCGGCGCCGCCATCATATCTTGCTCTGTTACTCAATTTGGAAGTCAAATTAAAGTTTAATATTTCTATGCTTGCATTTTGATGGTTGGTTGTTGTATTCAATTTCGACTCTGTTACTCTTTTGCGGTAGAGTAAACTCTATGAATATCATTTTTCCTCTTCATGTTTGTCATTCTTCTCCGGTTTGTGAATATGCTATTAGTTTTGTTGGTGATGAGGACAATTATGATGTTTCTTGCCACTGCTTCTATGGCTTTTGTTGGAATGGTTTACAAAAAATGAGAACTCAAAGTATGCATAAATGCTTTAATGGAGGCAAATTTGAACAACCTATTATTCTTATTTATTCCACATATCATATAAAATGATGAGATGAGAAATTGCAAATTTAGATGCATTTTCAAAAATCTTCTATCGTACGGAGCGAGCGAGATGTGGTGGCAACGTCAGTAGTGCCGCGATGGTGGTGATGGATTTGGGAAAAGGGATGGAGTAGGGTGGAGCAACTGCTCCACCAGGTGGTGAAACCGCTCCACCAGGTGGTGAAACCACTCTTTGCCTCTGAGTATATTTGTATTGAACCATAGGAAAGGTAAGGGAAAAAAAGTGGGTCTTTCTTTTTTACTACTTCCCTTTGATCTCTGCAAAAGCATACTGAAGTTTTGATATTTGTTATTTAGATCCTTGATGATTTTGTGGTGATTTAGGGATATTGAAATCGGCAGTCCTCATCTCCCCGCCCCTACTCCTCCACTCTCCTCTGTACGCACGCTCATTTTTCTTTATTCTTCTTATTTCTTCTCTTTAATTTGTAATTTTTTTTTTTTAAACTTACGAGTTTTTTTTTATGTGATTGAATCAAGAAACTCCACATGGTTGCAGAAAAAAAATTTCTTTTGTTTGTTGTAAGTTCATATAAAAACTTCAAACTCTGTTTTCCTTTTTTTTTTTTTTTTTGGGTTTTATTAGTTTATATGAATTTTATTATATTTTGTAAATGAGTAATGAGAAGAATTTATTTATTTATTTTTAAATTACCAGGTTAATGCTAGGTTTTATGTTCTAATTTATTGGTTTTGATCAAAAGGGGTTTAGATATTTAGGTTTGATTGCTCTGTTTTATTTGCTTTTAGGGTTTTGGAGAGTTTGAATTTGGGGCAATGGGGTTCAAGGTTTGCATGAATCATTCATGCAAAACAGCCAATACACACAAATGAAAGAAAGGCTGATCTTTGCGGTTCGATGGATTTGCCAGTCTCTGCTCCAAGTGCAGTTAATTTATTAGCCCTCTTAGATTTTGCTTACCAACTTTTAATTTTTCAACCATTTTTAAGTTGTGATTTTTTCAATGATGTGTTTTATGGTGTTTGAGTTTGGAGACTTTGGACCCAGGGTGCTTCTAGACATCTTGAAAAAGCGCAACGAAAATATTTCAATCAAGGTAAACGTCTCCAAGTCTTTAGTTAAACCAAGGGCTGTCCACCGACTGTGTAATTGTTGATTAACTCTATGCTGATAACGTTTAAAGTGTTTTGCACATCGCATGATTAAACCAACAATTATCCACATTCTCTAAATAGGATTTCACACAATATGAAGTAAACCCAATACTTAGAATTGTATAACTCTCGGACAAATTAAGCACCCTTTAGTGTGGGTTTGTATATGGGATTTATCTTTTCTGTGTTTGATGATTGTAAATTGCCATGTATGCTTGAGATATGGTGTTGAAGAAGAGGCTAAATTTTGGATTTAATGGCTTCCAATTCAATCAGTTATTTCACTTCGTAATTATCTCAACTTTATTCTAAAGTATTTCTCTTTATTTCTACAACAATGGTTTAAGGGTTTCAGTCGGTACTCATTTAGGTTGTTAATATAAAGTTAGTATAATCAAGTGCAAATTGATGATGGGAACAATTTATTTACTTTGTGATTTGTACTTAGAAAGCTGCCATTTTAGTTGTACATAATCTCTGTAAATTCAATAGAACATACATACAAAGTGAAGACTTATTTCTACTATTTGGGTTCAACTGCTTTGATCGGTTTCTAAATTATTTGGAGATAGGTGTTTTAAATTGTGTGTACGGTTTCAAAACCTGCAGTAAAGCACGTGCATCTTTGCTTGTATTTACTTAAGGGTAAACTGTCATTTCCCCCCTTAAACTATCACCATATTGTCAATTTACCCCCTAAATTATTTTTTCAGCCAATTTACCCCATGAACTATAAAAATTGGCCAATGTACTCCTTACAGTTAAATTTTTTAAATGCCATCCATGTAGATGTTAAAAATAAGGGTGATTTTGTCATTTCCAACGCAAAATAGTAAGAGTGCTACTAAACCCAACCCAGTGTCCTATTTTCCCACCCACATGATAATCCCACCCACCATAGAAAATTAAAAAAGTAAAATGTTATTTCCCCATCCACCATTATTCCTAAAATAACCATAATATTTTTTTTAAATAACTCTGATATATCTTTAAATAATATTATAAATAAATAAATAAAAATATAAAAAATGAAAGAAAATGCAAGACCTAAGACCTAGACATTCATCATCTCCTTCACACCTAATGCCGCAAAAACCCCGGATCCCCAAACCACTCTTCTTCCTCTCTTTTTTTGTCAAAACCGCAGATCTCACACCCAATTCTCTTTTTTCTCCATTGAAGTTTCTCGCCTTCATCTAACACATGCCCATTCCTTCCTCCAACCTTTCCGTCGATTCTAAATATTTCCCAACCTCTTTTCACCAAAGATATCACACCCCACCCACCATTATTTATTTATTATTTTAGTACCGAATTAAATAGGGGTTTAAGAGTCTTCTTTTAAAGGGATAAATATGTTATTAACATTTTCATTAAATGGTGGGTGGGGAAATAAGACACCGGCGTGGGAATATCACCACTCAATAGTAATTAATAAAAAATAATAAAGAAATTAATAAAAAACCAAAAAAAATATCCCTGCAAATAGCAAACGGAGGATTGGTTCATAGAGAGAGAGAGAGAGAAAGAGAACGGCCTCCCAGACTCCCAGTGATTGGAGTGGAATCAGTGATGTGGATTCTAAGGTGCAAATGATCAGCAGTGGTGGCATGGCAGAATCGGAACCGGCTCGGTGGAGTTGAATCGGAATCGGCGCGGTGGAGTCGAATCGTTAGCCGCCCCTCCACCTTGGGCTGCCTGAATATGGACTTTAAATCTACCGCTAACCCCACAATTTTTTTAGAGAGGGAGAGAAAGAGAGAGAGAGAATCGTGATGAAGGTGGCGGGTTGGGTGGGGGTGGAGTTCGAGCATGGAAGGATATGGAATTGCTGGGTTGAAGGAATGTGGGCTGGAGAATACAGTCTCCTTTTATTTTCTTTTCAAGTTTTAGTATTTTTTTACTTTAATAGTTTAAAGTGATTTTCGTTTTTAAATTAAAGAATTGATTTTTTTAACAAAAATTGGAAGCAAGTTTAAACAGTAAGGTGTAAATTGGCACATTATATATAGTTCAGGGGTTAATTGGCTGAAAGAATAGTTTAGGGGCCAAAATTAAAAGCAAACTGAAATTACAGTTCGGTTCTGTTTGGTTTTTTCAATTCGGTTTTACTTCGGTTCGATTTTTTTGATCCAGTTTGACTTCGATTTTGTTGTTGGAGACGCCAAAGGTGGACATGCGGACGAGAAGGCCCAATTGCTGGGGGATGATGTTGAGGTAGGCTCACAATATGAGTTGCGACGAAATTGGGCGGTTAACTAGTTGGAGGAGAGGTTGAGGACGGTGAGGTTGACAAGGTAGCGGAGGTCAGAGGTGATGGGGCCGGTGAGGAAGTTTGAGGAGAGGTCGAGGAAAGGGGGAGATGGAGCCGCGGAAGGAGAGGTTGGCGAGGGAGATGGTGAGGAAGCTATGAAATCGAGGCAATTGGAATTGAAATTTGGCTTTCAGCATATTTGAGCCTAGAATTAG